GAATGTTGAACAATTAAATAAGGGTATATTTTGAGACTTGTCCGTGAATTAAAATACTCAGTAGACAGCTAGTCAAACTCTTCATACTTTGAGAATTCATATAATCTTTCCCAACATTTCCTAGAAAGATAGATACTTGCTTTGGCAATATGAATGTCAGGCATTGGGAGCATAACTTGTTTAATTAAGAGTGTCTAGAGAGATAGCTGTTAAGAAATTTAATTGTGAGAAAGATCAAAGAAACTTGCCTTCTCAGTCAAAATACTTGTATGTTAAAAGAAGAATCTTGATTGAGCCAGCTTGATAAGAAGTGTTGAAATTATAACCATACATTAAAAAAAGCTTTGTTAAAATTGAGGCCTTTTGCCATTATGTTGTTTTTTCTACCGGATATGCACTATTGGCAAACTCTTGATTTGAAGTTAGTGTGTTTATTTTGAGGAAAGTATTGATTTTTCTAACAAAGCAGTGAAGCTCACAAGAATATCTGTCTCATTGCCCTTCTGTTCTTAAAATATTTAAATGAAGTTCACACTTATTTTTTGGCAATATAAACTTATTTAATAATTGGGGTGATATCGTAAATTACTCTTAAATCTGGTTTGGACTCTTCTTTTTAACCTCCTTTAGACAAAATGCAGTTCAGAAGCCACATGTGTGGATAAGTCTAAAAATACTAACATTTGATTTGATTCAAAGACGAAATTTTCAAATACCTAGAGCAGTTGTTCCTGACCAAGACTGTACAAAAAAATTACCAGAGTTTTTAAATACAAACACTGGTCTTAGGAAAGTCTGAGTTAGACATCACAAGCGAGATGTACCACTGAGATTCTACAATTAACATTCTTCTATACTTGATTTATTATGTTTGTACCTTTATTTATCTCACAGTCCTTTAACATATAGTACCACTCTACTAATGCTATGTTCATTTGGAAGCATACTCTAAAATAGAAAAAGGATAAGAAATAAATGCACCATTCTATTATTTTTTTAATGTCACTCCCTTCAGAGACCCTGAGCCAGAGGATTCTTATGACTAAACTGCCAGTGATACTTGGGCACTAGATTTATCAATAATATTCTGTGACAGGAGCCTGACATGGACCTATAGTGTTGTAGATTAAGGAGTGATCCAAACATTTTGACATCTGAGCTGCGGTAGAAGGCCTCTTTAGGAAATTAACCTAACCAGAGAACACGCCTGAATACGTTATCTTGAACATTCTATATGGGTTGCTTTATCACCTGAGAACCCTACTTCCCCAAGACATTTTTCTAGATGGTTCTAGCCTTCACTCCTATAACCCAGCTTGACAGAGGAGGAGAATTTGGTCAATTTCACACTTGTTCCTTTCTTAAATGATGCTCCCCTGTGTCTGCTCCCACCCCCAAAATAAAAAATCACCAGCACAGAAGGAAGGAGATGCTAAACTTTATTCAGCATGGCATGTAACATTCTGAAGGAGGATGTAAATAAAGATTTAATGACAGCAGACCAGAATTGAGAAAAGCCTGGATACAGAATTTCCTCTTCGTACTAGATTTGTTTCCCAGATACCTAAGGGGATGCAAGTCTCCCTTACATGGTAGACTACTGGAATATAAGAATTCGTTTTTCAGTTGATCTGATGTTCTTTTCCCTTTCAGATCTAAATGGAACTCAACATTTTACATTCCGATTTCTCTGAGGATTGTTCGACAGTTTGGATTTTGGCTGTGACCTGTTAAAGAAGATCAAAATTTCCTTAGTTTGAGTGCCATTTATTAAAGCAGACCGATTCATCTCTAAGATATTTCTTTAAAAATTAGTAGTGCTGAATTAAGAGAAATGTTAAGCCCACTTTGTCATTTCGTTGTAATGGAGCTTATGGGTAAAAGAGCACATCTACTATTTTTAAAAAGAGGGAAAAATGCATTACCTCTTCTACTTTGACCACTTCCAGTAAGTAAATGGATGTTTTGAATAAGCCGTTTGCCCAACACTCACTATAGATCATGATTAAGCCCTAGTTGACTTGCCTGTTGACTGTATGGTGACTTTCTGTATATTCCAGTTACCTAGATGTTCCCTTGAGATTTTGATAAAATATAAGGGTGGCAGAAACTCGTATTTGAAGTCAACATTAATTAGGTCTGTTTTTCATATTTAAGTAGCATGTGGCTATTTTTATACTAATTTTGATATCATGTACATTGTTTTCATTTTTTGCCACTAGAAACATCAAGAAAAAAGCATTTCAAAATGCAGTTTTTAGAACCTGGGTTTTAATAGCAATTTTGAATTTGTAAGGTTAGTAATTGCAGAAATTGAACACTAGGAGGCACCCAGTTAACGCTGGAAATACTGGTACAGTTGTCAACTTTTTTTTTTTTTACTTACTGTGCATAGGAAATTTCCCAACCAAGAAAATATTTTGATCATATGCATGTATGTAGAATATTTTTATAGGACGAAAAGATTATGTTGTGTCATTTTGTTTCAGAAGTTATACACATGTAAGCTACAATTTTGAGTGCTTTATAAACACTTAAATTATATATAAATGAACATTTAGTTTCATAACAACTTGTACAAATTAAGCCTTTTTCAAATTATCCCTAAGCTGGGCAAATAGGGGAATAACAACTTAATGAAAAGATGGTCTCCATTTTATGAATGAACAAGTTACAGCGGAGAAAATAATAAAGATGTCATGCTGCACAGTACAGTATATTAACCTTTATTTTGTGATTAGGGTGTATTTTGCGTGTACAAAATTTTTTGCTCGTATCTTTGGGCATTTAGATCGACTCTTAACTGAGTTTTTTGTTATCAGCTCTGGTAAAGTGAAATGAAGGGCTGGACTGGTTAGACCCACTAGGCACATTGAAATCGTATGCAACTTTACAACAAGAGACCCATCATGGAGTTTTCTAGAAAACTTCAGTGATGAAAAGTAATATCAAGGGGAATGAATAAACCTTAACCATGGCTTCCAAAAAACAAGCAGATCTCTCATCCCACATTTAATGTAACTTCTTAAGTATGCAGGCTCTGGAATCAGAGTCTTGAGGTTCTATAAAACATTGTTAAAGATTAGAAATTAAGATTGGACAATTGCAGTCCGTGTTTCTTATTTGGCATTTTTAGGTGGAATGCATCTGAGACCATGGGCTGCTTTTTAATACAAGAAACCTTAGCCTCTAGGAATTGACTTAGTGATTGTCTTCCATCAGTAATCTAAAACCTCCTAAGATAAGGGTTCTGTACATGAAAGTGTTTTTGCTAAATTTGTAGTAGATACAGATCCACATTATTTTACCAAGAAGGTTTAAACTCCGTCTGTGATACAGTTTACGGTAGGGATGGTGCAACTCAAACATTAGTTTTTCTACTTACCTCCTGTAATAAATATGGTTGATCTAAAGATTCTTTAAAAATTACAACAATGCTCAAATTCATGTGTTTGCCAGTGATTTTTTTTTCTTTCCTTGGTAGCAACAGCTCAATACAGTACTCTTGCATCCTGGAAAATCTCAAATCATAATAATTAAAATAGTTGGGGTAAAGTTGTAGCTCTTATCCAACACTACGTGGAGGAATTATTTTACTATCGTCTTTAATGTGGAAATTGTATAATTTCATTGATTTGATTCTATTTCAAATGAGGAATTTAAGTGGTCCTTAAATGTTTTTTGGGGGGGGGCAGTGGTTTTGTTTTTTGGTTTTTTGTTTTTTTTTTTTTTTTTAGACTCCATAATAAGATTCTGATTTGGAAGTGTCGAGATAAGGTCATAAATTTGCATTTTTAAAAGTTTATCCATCCGGCTGATTCTAAGGATCAGTGCAGTGAATGTATTGGCTG